TTTGTAAGTGCTCCAGAAGGGAAGACAAGAAATAAAGATAACACAGCTTGCTTGTTGAGAGGGACAAGGAGGTCTTCTTCACAGGAGAATATTTTATACTTTCAAATCTTTGAAACACGTAAAGAGACTACATAATAAAAACTTCAATTTTACAAAATGAGGAGGGTTCGACTTCAAACAAAGAAGGCTAGGAGGGAGCTCAAGCACCAGCCTCACTCTGCTACTGATTAACTAGGTGAACTTGGCCAGTGGCTTAGCATCGTGGCCTATTCTGGCTACAGAGGGTCCCAGAAATCCTCTCAATGCCACATCCTTGTTTCATAGAGTAGGAAACAGAGGCCAGGATAAATTAAGTGACCCTGCTGTGTCACACCGGGTTATAGCAGAACCAACTGAAGTTGTCAGCACATGGCTTTCTCCCTGTGTAAGATGGGATGACCGCCATTCACACAAGAAAAGACCAGACACAGGGACAATGAGAAATCCTTTGGAAATGACATAAGGGACAAGACCTGTATTCACAATAAATGAAGAACTCTCAAAACTCAACCACAAGAAAGAAGCCAAATGTACACCTAAAAGAGGATTAGGATCATTAGCAAGCAGAGATAGGAACATTAAAAGCATAGTGAAATTCCACTGTATAGCTGCTAGAAAGGTTAGCAAACTTAGCAAAACTGACAATACCAAAGGCTAGTGTGGTGGATTGACAACTGGTGGTCAGTTCGTAACCTCCAGCTAAACTAAGTAAGTGTGGTGCTGGGTATGGGAGGCCCACCTGAGGATTGTTGCCAGCAGCATAAGAGGCAGAACTGGAAGAAAAGAAGTCTGTTGGGAGCTGGTAGAAGCTGTTGGGAACCAGTTGGAAGTTGAAAGAAGCTGTAAGGAGCTGTTGGTTTTCTTAGAGGAGCTTGTCATGCTGGCTTTCCTGATGAACTTGGCTGTTTTCATCCTCCAAGGAGCTCGGGACCTTGTTGTTACTGAGAATAGCTGTGGTTTACTTTAGGGGACCTGTTGTCCTCATTCTGAGCATAGCTTCCTGGCTCCAGAGGGGAAGATGGTGCACTGCTCAGTCTCCTGGAGAAGCTTGTTGCTTTGGCTTCCTTGATGGGAACTCGGCCATCTTGATCATTGGAGGAGCTTGAGATCTCACTGTTGCTGAGGATGGCTGTGGTACTTTTCGGGGAGCTCTGGTTCTTATTTTGTGCGTCACTTCCTGGCTCTAGTGTAGATCCCTCAGCCTGCTAGCACAGATCCTTCATCCCGTTGGCACAGACTTTCTAGATTCCACCATTGGCCTTTGTAGGCCAAAAAATCAAAGATCCATGAAACAGGCCTGCATGAGATATTGTTATGGGCTCTAGGCCTCCAACTGGACTCATGGGAGGCATTGCTATGAGCTCTAGGTCTTCAGCTGGACTCATGCAGGACGTTGTCATGGGATCTAGGCCCTCAGTAAGATTCTTGGATCTTTAGTACATGGGAAGATTTCCTACACTCTTTTGTATATCATTCTTTGGGTGATATTATAAGTAGTCTTATAAAATATGTGTCCTGTACTAGGACAAATATGTGTCCTAGTTGCTTCCCTTGCAGTAAACCCCAAACCATAACAGCTGGGAAGGGCATGGAGCAACTAGAACTATATGTGAGCTCTAGTTATTCCATATCCTCCTACCATTGCCCTGGTGGAACTCAAAGGACAAAATAGTATAAGCACGTTAGAAAACAAGTCTTATAAAGTTAGACTTACACATAGCCAATATTTACCACATAACCCCGAAATATCACTCCTCCATATTTACCCAAGACAAACAAAAACTTATATGGACATAAAAACCTGTACACAAATATCTGTAGAAGTTTTATTCAGTCATCAAGAGCTAGAAACGACCCAAGTGTTCTTTAACCATGGTACATCCACATAAAGGCATACTATCCAGTTGGAAAAAGGAAAACTGAAAATGCGCAACCTGAATGGATCCCAACGGCATTATGCTATATGAAATGCTGTACCTCAAAAGGCTACCTAAGCTTCCTTCCATTTGTTGGATGTTCAGGAGGAGGCAGAATTGAAGGAAAAAGGAACAGTGACTGTCAAGGATACAGTGAGAAGTTGATTAACGATAGAAAGCAAAAAGAAAATTTGGAAGGTATTACAACTGTTCCGTACCATGCTTGTGCTGCTGGGTACATGAGTCTATGCATTTATCTAAACTCAGAATTGTATACCACAAAAAGTAGATTTTAACATATCAGTTTTGTTGTTTGCTTGTTTGTTTTGAGACAGGGTCTCACTATGTAGTTGAGGCTACCCTTGAATTCGCTATGCAGCCCAGGCTGGTCTTGAACTCACAGTGATCCTCCTGCCTCAGTCACCCAAGTGATGGGAATACAGGTATGCACCACCACACCTCACAATGTATCAGTTTAAAAGTATCAAAAAATCAAATAATAAATACTGGTGAGGCTATGGGAATAAGGAATCCTTCTACACCGTTGGCACAAATGTAAACAGGTACAACCACTGTGGAAATCAGAATAAAGATCCTTCAAAAAACTAGAACTAGAAATGCATTTGGGAATGTAAGTTACTGCAGCCATCGTGAAAAACAACTGTTACGTCATTCAGAAAACTAAAACTAGAACTATGATATGATGTAGCAATCCCACTCACGGTTTTATACTTTTCCCCTCTCCAGGTATTATATCACAATGCTACATGCATACCCATGTTTATAGCAGCACCATTCATAATAGCTAAATCTTGCAAGTAGTCTATATGTCCATCAACAGATGAATGGATAAAGAAAATGTATTTACACACAATGAAATAATACTCTGCCATAAAGAAGGAGAAACTTGGGTCATTTGTAGGAAAATGGATGCACACTGAGACCATAATAATAAGTGAAATAAAGCAGACAGAAGCCTAAAGGCACATAGTTTCTCTTACATGAAAAACCAAAAATATAAGTAAAGAATAAAATAAATAAAAGATAGGTAATAGGAAGTAGGGAGATCCATTTTTCTGAAATGGGAAGGGCATCAAGAGATGAAGGAAAAGGGAAGAAAAGTGAGGGGAAAGGGATAAGAAGAAGAACTGAGATGTGTCATGTGCCTGTACCAACTCCAAAAAGAATGTAAATATTATGTACTCAAAGATGACCTAAGGTAGATATAGATACACAGATATATAGAAAGATATTGTATAAAATTGCTTGTACCAAAAAATAAAAATAAAATTGCCCACTTTTATTCAGAGTCAATTGACAAATAAAAATAGATGTGAAATCATCAACAGAGTAAAGAGACCACCAGCAGAATGAGAAAAAATACTTGCAAACTGTTCATTCAACAAAAAATCAACACAGAGTCTATAACAAATTCAACTCAACAGCAAAAAAAAAAAACAAAAAACAAAAACAAAAAAACCCCAAATAATCTGATTTTAAAACAGGCAAGTGATCTAAATAGACATTCCTCTAAAGAAGATATACAAATGGCCAATCAGTACATGAGTTCAACATTGCCAGTCATCAGGGAAATGCCAATCCAAACCACAGTGGCAATGGGAGAAAATATCCAGGTAGAACAGATATTATCCAAATGGGAAAAAGTGAGAATGCTGTCAGGCACACAGAGGTGGGAATTTGTGTGCGTTATGAGACTGTAACTCATACAGTCTTTGTGGAAAACAGTAGGTAAGTTCTTCAGGAAACTAAATCTAGAACTATGATGTGATCCAGCAACCTTACCACTGGGTCTACACTCAAAGGAAATGACAGTACACCGAGGAGACAAAGACCCAGGGGTGTGCGTTGAATCACTGTTCACAGAAAGGCAAGAGCTGTGTGACCTCCCTGTCCCTGGAGGTTAAAGAATTGGCCTCTTGCAAGCAGAGAGTAAAGCAGGGTCACCAGGATGGCCATGGTGAAGAGAGGGGAGATAGAAGGAGGTTGGATAACAAGTTCAAAATCAGACAGGACAGATGAGTCCTAATGTTCTACACCGCAGTAAGATTACTTTTGTTCATAATTTATTACATGCTTTATAAAAAAATCTACAAGAGAGGAGTTTCAAACTTCCCAGTACAAAACAAATGACGAATATTTTAAACGACAGCAAGGTCAACTACCCTGATGTAATCATCACATATGATGGATGAGTAGCTCACTGTGCCCTTAAATACATATAATTATTATGTGTCATTTTTAAAATTGTGTATACTGAAGGTGTACTATGTGATATTTTGATCGATACATTCACTGAGAAGTGATTGCCACAATCAAGCTAATTACAAACCCACCACTTCCTGTAGAGGAGCCTTCAATCAGATGAGTTCATGGTCTTTGTCCATTTCTAAAATCATAATGGTTGCTTCCCTTTTTAAAAGGACAGCAACACACTCTCAAGAACAAGTATATGTTTATATAGCATACAAGGGAAAAGGATTCTTATCATTTTTCTCTTGAAAAAAAGATAAAACTGAATAACTATGAAATTCAGAACTCAGCAACAATGTGGAGAAGCAGGAAATCTGAAAAAGGGTATGAAAACAATGGCTCAGAATTTCATCTCTGTGACAGTGCAGCTGTCTTTCAATTGTGATTTTTCTCTGTTTGGAAGTATGAAACAAACAGAAAAATAGAGCTGGTCTTCTGTACGGCTCTTGTCTTCTCTGATTTTCTATTTCTGACTCTCTCAGAACTGGCTCTTGTGACATTTGGAAAGTCTAGAAAGACACCATCCTTCAACTTATTCTTTGCTTAGTTTTAATCACTCGTGTTCCATAAACACGAAAAAAATGTCCCTTATGTAGTGTGGGAGAGTTGTAACCTTTTTTAGGGTGCAGTACTCCTTTCAATATCTAAGAAGTACTACAATCCCATTTGCCAGAATTAAAAAAACTAATTGGAAGTACAGAAGTACTTCCTTTCCCATTTGTGCTGCTATAAAATATCTGACACAGGTAATTTATTAATACAGTAATAGTAATTTATTTCCCATCTTTCCTGAGTATGAGAAGTCCAAGATCACAGCTGCAGTAGGACTGATGTATGGTGAGGGCTGCTTTCCACTTCCCAGATGGCACCTTCAAGATGGCACCTTCAAGATGGCATTTTCAAGATGGTGCCTTCAAAATGGCTCCTTCAAGATGGTGCCTTCAAGATGGCTCCTTCAAGGTGGCTCCTTCAAGATGGCGCCTTCAAAATGGTGCATTCTTACAGTATCCCTGCAGGAAAGAAATGTTATGCTCTCACTTGGTAGAGGAGGCAAAAGAACAAAAGAATACTCCCTTTAACTTTTGTAAGAGTGCTAATCCCTCTCCTGAGGGCAACACCCTCATAACTTAATCCCCCCCAAAGGGTACACCTCTTAGTAGTATTGCACTGGGGATTAAGTTTCAACAGAGAACATCTAGTAGCCAAATGATAGCAACACCCCTACCAATGTCATTCTAGTTACAAAGTCAGAGACTCAAAGACCCCTGAGCCCTGTAGATTCCAGGAGTCCAGGCGTGTACAGTCCAGTCTTCTAAGGGTAAGCATAGGTTCAAATCTAGGCTCTCCTGTCTTAAGAGCTGCATGAACTTAGTTACATATTTATTCTTTTCTTTCCTTAGTCTGCTCATCCAAAAAGTACAAATAATAGTGCTGCTAGAATTTAATCATGCCTTGTCCCATGACAGCTTCAATGAATATTAGCCAGGAGGAAGAGAAGGAATAATTGACTGATATAGTTCTTTAAGACTTCTGAGTCAGTCTCTTTATAAACTTGGAATCTAAGAATGCTTTCCGTATTGTGTGGAAATGTAAACTACTATAACCACCATGGAAATCAGTATGGAGAGTCTGAAAAAAAAATAAAAACAGGAATTCCATTTGAGTTAGCTATTTCTTTTCGGCATATCTTCCCCAAAGAGTTAAGTATAATATAATATGACATTATATTATAGCATATCCATGTTTATTGTAGCACAACTCACAATTGATGAATTATGAAAATGGCTTGTATGCCTACTAACAGATGAATGGATAAAGAAAATGTAGCATACATACACAGCGGAGTACTAGTCTGCCATAAAGGATAAATTTGACTCATTTATAGGAAAATGGATGTTTCTTGAGACTATAAGCTAAGTGAAATCAATTGGACATGGAGGGATAAATATATCGTGATTTTTTCTTATATGAGAAACCCAAAATCTAAACACCTTTAAGAGCAAAAGAAAAAAGAGATGACAGGAAACAAGGAAGCAGACTTTGTGGAGATGGGAAAGGGATCTTGGGAAAAGGAGGGGGAAGGAAGTAAAGGTAATCACAATGCAATATGCGTATATACCAATTGCAAAAGATGAAAGTTGTTATTATGTGTGACAAACATATGACATAGGACTCCAGTGAAAAGTCCATCAGACAAGTAAACAAAGTACTGTCTATAACCCACTGATGTCATTGAATGTCCTTCCTGGTGAGAAATCCTAAAATACAATGTTACCTGAGCAAATGGCATGCAACTCCAGAAAATTCTGTTCTCCAATTATGGCCAAGGGCTGTGCTGGTAATTGGTTGGGTTATTCAGAGTTACTGAACTAAACTTAGCAGATCACTTGGATTTACAGGTGACTCTAATTCTGTTTTCTACTCAGCCTTCTGTTGCCAGCAATCCCTAGCAATGTGGCAACGTGGCAACGTGGCAAGGTCTGGGTTCTCCGCCTACAGACACTTAGCATTTGGTGTCGCTTCAACTTGGGTGGGGATGGTTTCCCTGTGGTTACTCCTAATTCTCATAATTCATATTTTACACCCATATCCTCATTATTCATCAGTGTTATTTTGAGGGTCACTCAGTAGAAAGGAGAACGATGACACAAATGGCTGTGTTTTGACCTGTGGTGATTTGGTTCTAAGTTGCATATAGTCCAAGGTTTGAGTGAGAATTATTCACACTCTAATGTCTCTAGTAGACATGCACATGATTTTTATAATATTCTTGTAGGCAAAAATTCACCATTTGCGTCCAGTGCTTACTTTCAATTATTATTTTATATTTTTGAGGCAGGATCTCACTATGTAGTTGAGGCTGGCACTGAACTTACTACGTAGTCCAGGTTGGCCTCGAACTCAGAGGTATCTTCCTGCCTCAGCATCCTTGCAGGTGTGTGACACCAAGCCCGGCTGGGTGTTTACATTTTGTGGGGAAGGGTTGGGATTGTTCGTTACTTTGCTCACCCCTGAGAAAGAGTAGGTAGTGGACCCTGGGGAAAGAATTTATTTGTTCTGCTTGAGTGCATCGTATTAAATAAGGCTGCAGTAATACACATTCTCACATGAACACACACACACACACACACAGCTAAGGACCACTAGATGGGCACATTTAAAATCAGGTCTCATCACTTATTTGTTCTAAAACCCAGAAGAAGTGAATAAGCTTCTCTAATATTTTTCCAATCTGTAGAATCCAATCCTTACATATCCCTCTGGGACAAAGTGGTCAGCAAAATTGTCCTAGAGTCATATAGTAAACCCGTCAGCTTTGGGGGGACCCAGCGGTCCCTGCCAAGTACTCTTAACTCTGTCCACTATTTAACAACTACACAAGTCCACTGTGGTAACATGAAAGTTGATGTAGGCAAGATATGTAGGTGGCATGGCTGTTTCCCTATGAAACTTCAAACCAGGCGATGGCCCTGCCAGCCATAGTCGGCTGAATGCTCCATGTTATCATTGTGAGAAAAACACGGGGAAACACTGCCCAGGACATCACTGTCATCATCATCATCATTATTGTTGCTATCATCATCATGATGGATACCTATGATTGTTGTGATCCTACTCTCAGCCCATTGTCCAATCAGAGGCAAGAGCCACCCTAGGAAGCCTCCAATTGGAGGCAAGAGCCACTTCCTAACTAGAAAGATGAGCTCTCAGGGCAGGATGCCAGGGCCATGGCTGTGAGCGCTGGACCAGCACACAAGTCCCTGCCCATTAGGCATCTGCCCTCTGTCACTCAGGGAGCTCTGGAGAAGCTCGGCTTGTGCACAGTTGTGAGGGATTATTTTCACACTGTCCCCGCTGCTCCCAGAGATAAGCTGAAAATATTTTCACGGCTGAGATATTTTTAAAACTGCAAGGAGAAATATAGGAAGGCATTTATTTATATTATGGAAAGCTTTTAAATATTATTTCCCCTGAGTAGGCTATTCTCCTCTTTTCCACATGGTTATTACCATCTTTATTTTCCAGTTGTAAAAATATATGTTTGCCATTTGTCTGCAGAACAATGTGACTGCCTGGGATGGCCCAGGCCTCTCCTCCCAGTTATCCTAGCTCATGGGAAATGGTCACCAGGTGCAACCCGTGCTCACAAGCCCCAAAGGTGCCTCACTTCTACCACGGTCACCAAGCAGCGCCCGACTCACAAGGCCAAGAGCAAGGCCAAAGCAGAGCTTTCCATAGAGGGAAATCATGCATTCCACGATCAGCAGCATCTGTAAAGCTATTTTCCAAGCAATTATGTGCAATAATTTCAGGGAGGCAATTTGATTCTTTCAGCTTGATGATCCAACGAAATGAAAACCTTCTGAGAGAGAGAAAAAAACTCCTCAAGTAATTTTTTTCTCCTGATCACAATTCAACCTGAGCTATCTCAGGGCTCCGCTGAAAAGTTTATTGTGCATAACGTGCCCTGTGATCACTTATTTAAAAATATTCATTGTCAAATTAGCAAAACTGTTGTCCACAGCTTCTTAGAGTCCTGTGACCCAGAGTTCCATATTGAGAATTGAGGTTAAGTTGGATTCTATCTGCTAGGAAGGACAGCCACAGAGTACTCACTGTGACTGCAGACACATGTCACTTAGAATCTCAGACTCAGTTTTCCCATCTACAAAAGAGGTGAAAGGGAAATTGCCTTACATGGACACATATATAAATACAGGCATATATACATACATACCTAGAAGATGACAGGTAATCTAGGTAGCTGGCTAGCTGGCTAGATAGATGGATGGATGGATGGATGGATGGATGGATGGATGGATGGACGGATAGATGGATGGATAGATGGATAGATGGACGGATGGATGGATGGACAGACAGATGATGGATGGATGGATATATAGACAAATAATAGATCAGATAGACAGGTAGATGATAGGTTGGGTATAGATGATGATGAGAGACAGATAGGAGATAGATATTGGGGGTGGGTAGGTAGATACATACATATATACATATGTACATACATACATACACACATATATACATACCTAACTAACCAGATAGGTAGCTGGATACATGATAGATAGATGATTGATAGGTAGGTAGAAATAGATGGATGGATAAAATAGACAAAAGAATAGATTAATAAATAGGTAGATAGGACAGACTGATGGATAGATATATAAATTACACAAACTTACATATACTTACAAAAAAGTAAATTTAGAGAAATATATATGCAAGCACTTTGTAAATCTACTCTTAAATTCCTTCCTCAGTCATACTGTGACGCCACTCAGTGGAGCCCTATGTGGGATTAAATGCAGAAAGTATGCCTGATCTAATCACTGTTGCTGTTTGCTGTGCTGGTGGAGGATTGAGACTTAGGCTAGCTGGTTTTAAGAGCCTCAGGATTGCCAGTAACATTCCACTGGAAATTGGTATTTTGCCTGGACTATGTCCAAACCCTACTCCTTTCTGAGGAAAGCGCAGCTGTTTTTGCTGCACTAATGAGTCTTCCTTGCAAATGGACATGTTGTAACTGGCCCAAAGTCCATCCAACTCTAGAGGATTCTAACCTGAAGCAAGGGTACTGGGCTTTCTCACTCTCCTGAACTCCAAGCAGGAAGCACCCCATGAACTCTTCCAAGGCCAAACCAACCAGAAATGTAAGGGGAGTTGCACGCCCTTCGAACTTTGCTGTTCTGATAAACCTTGCCTCCCTCCAGCGTTTGTGAGAAGTCATATTGCCAGCACCAAACTCAGGGACACCATCTGCCCACAGAGAAAGTGTTCAAGGTCCCCATGCAAAGACGGGGCCAGGTGTTCTCACGTCCAACACTCTGGCTGAGCACCAGGAAGCCTGTCCAGTGAGCTTGCCAGGCTGGAGACCTCTCTCTACAGCCCAGAGCCAGAACATAGAGTCTTTTGTTCTAATATTTGAGCATTGGCCCCAGTTCCTGACAGAGCTCCTAAAACCCTTGGAATTTGCTGGATGATAGGGTGC